GCAAGACAAACCAGTCTGCTTACTTGTAATGGGTACAGCAGCAGTCTAGGAGACTACCTCTGTTTAAAATATATTTTTGCATGGTGGAGAAAAAAATGGGTGGTCTGGGACTAGCTGAACTGTAGGCATCTTAAGAGTGGAAATTTAGAATATGTGTAGCTTAAGAGTTAACAACTGTAACATTTCTACCTCTTCACAGCAAAATGAATGGACAAAAAGGAAAGCAGAGATACATTACATATATCTGTACAGGTTTTATATTAAGATTCTCACATCATAGGATTCTGTTTTGTTTACACTGACTACTGTTTGGATTTTAATTAAATATAACAATGTCATGGAAGTCCTGTAGCTGCACAGGGCTTATTTTCTCAAATCCACTTGCTGTTGCCCTGCAACTGTAAAAGTAATTTCTTATTCATGTGTGTCAGCTTCCTCTCTCTTCTGCTGAGAGTGTAAGAAACTGTTAACTTTACAATTTTGATGGTTTCAGCTGTTTTGAGGGCTGAACTACACCATGTCATTGTGCCCATATTCTTCATCACAAAAAAAAAAAAGAGATTCTAGATTGCTTTTAGCAGAGGATGTGAAACAAGACTGAGTCCTTGATCTTTACCAGCATCACTCTTTGGGAATGGAGCTGGTTTTTTGTTTTCATATGGTTGGTTGGGATTTTTTTCCCTTTATTGAGAATGGAGAAGAGTCTGTAAATTCTGAATGGAATTCAGTTCAGTGAGAAACAGATTGAAATGAATGAAGTCTTCTCCATGTTGAGCTTTAAATTTGTTTTAGACTTGCTTCTATTGGTGCTCCTCCACTGAAGTATACATGAGTGTGCAGCACACAGACCAACCTAAGAGAGAAATACTTTCTCAGGGATCTTACTTATGAACTTTATCCACACTTACTGATAGGTAATTAGCCATTAATCTCATGTCTTAAAACAAAAAAGCCTTTTTGTGGCTAGTATAAATGGTTTCTTTACTCCTGAAGATTATTTCAAAATTGTGAAGAAGATGAGTATGAAGAGAAAAAAGAACTGGTGATACATGTTACTAGGACAGTGTATGTATGGGTAGAGATGTATTTGCAAAATAGAGAAGGGGGACGGAAATTTCAGGTGTAATTAAGAAATAACAGATAATCCGAATATGGCTTGTGCTGGGCTGCCAGCATTGTGGTGGGGGGTAGTAGGAGCCCTAGAACTGTTCCTTTGTGGCAATGACTTAGTTCAGTTTGAGTTAATCATGAAATAGGTGCCATTCTTCTCCCTGATTAATTATAAATGCTTGTTTCTGTTGGTTTCCGCACGTGTAAATCTTACCCTCCCAGCTTGCTTTGTTCCCAGTTGGTTTTGTTCTCAGCAGCTGATTTTCTGGTGCTGTGGCTCATCTCATTGTGAGACCTGTATTTCTGAACACAAAGCCCCTTTTTTCTTAGGGTTTGGTTCTGAAACCAGTGTTTACTCTCATCAAGTTCTTTGCCTATTTATTCCTTTTTCCTGTTGCAATATTTCATTATGCTTTTATATACACCACGTACAGTCAGTGTTAGAAAGCACGTCAGTTCAGTGTGCTTGAGTTAGCTTGACTTATGGCGGCAGCAAATTCTGAAGGAGTTACTGTAATAATGCTTCCAAAGAGTATGTTTATGGAGGCTACTGTGTAAGGCATTAATAGGATCAAATGCATGTACATAGCTCAGAGTACATGCTCAAAACATATACTTTGAAATAATTTATCTCAAAGCTACCTCGCAGGTATTTCTGTGTTATGTTTTGGTTTTTTTAGGAGTATGACTGATGTAGACATGTTCTGTGATGACTAAAAAAAAAAAATATATCTTTGGCATTTGCCATTAAAAAATTTACTGTAAAGCTGGAGCAAGGTTTTACCATCACTGCTGGTGTGACTTTTGATTTTTGGTTTCTGAAGACCTGCAAATATAACCAGCTGGTTTTATGTTACAGAGTTACTCTGTCACAGAAGATGAGATTTTGATGTGGTGATGCAGAGAGTTTCCAAAAGCTCAATCCTAGGAATCATAGGTAGTGTTTTGTGGGCTGAATAAGATTCAAAATGTTTCTTCCTAGAACTGAGTCATGTGCTTGACATGTGTTTGCTGAGTGCTTCCCAACATTTTGCTTTCTTGACCTGCATAGAACTCCAAAAGAAAATGTCTGCCTAATTGACAGCCATGAGGTGAATTCACACTTGGGTGACAGGAGGAGGAATGGAGAGCCTGATGATACAGTTGGATTGGAAACTGGCAGTTGGAACACTGCCCTGTAGATTATTAAACAGTATTTCAAGCTCAAGATAAAGAGCTAACTAGGTTTTCGTGATTTTTTTTTTTTTTTTCCCATGGACACTTACACGCAAATTCAGGTAGTTAGATATGGTGTTTCAAAAAGGAAGTTTTATATGCAATCCAGAAAGACCAAGGCATGCTATTTTTGCCCCTGTTGTGATTTAAGGAGCCTTTTTAACATGGTACATAATTTTATTCACTTCAGATAATCCCAGTTATTATTTTCCTAATGTACAAAACATTTAACACTTGTTTGTTTTACTGTCAAATATGTAAGCAGCCCTGGTATTTGGGAGTTTCATTTTAAGAAAAATAAAAGCAAACCACAATACCACAAACTCTAGCAACATGTAATTGTCATGTCATACTGATTTTTCTAGTCCACTGACAGTTTCTGGTAATGGTCAGTGCTGGAAACCCTGAGGTGATAATCATGGACCAACTTGATTGTGTTGCTCACACATTAGCAAAACTTGGCATTCATTCGCCCAATAAACCAGTGAAAACAAGTCTGGAGTCTTTTTTTGTACCCGTCACATGAGAATGGAGAGGGAGAGGTATTAAACAATCCTAAGTATATGTTGTCATTCATATTGTTGTTATTATTTTTTCCTTTTTAACAAAGGAACAAGGCCTTTGCTCTTAAGGTTTCACAATGGTGTTCATGGACTGGCTGTACGTGTAGAATCATGTAGGAATATTTCTTCTATTGGGTTATTTGGTTGAAAACAGCTGCTGCTTCATCAACACATGCATGACCACCTCTTTGAACTGGGACTCTTTAAAGGGTCAACAAAAGACAAATCTACCCTTTGCTGTGTGCCATCCCACTCAGATGGATTGAAGGCTTTATTTTTCCTGATCAGCTGGCACTTATTACCGTAGTCGTCATGAAAAAAGGCAGTTATTTCTTTACATTAAAATGATGTGGACATAGATATGCGAGGAGAAACTTGAGGAAACTGGAGACTTGATGTATCCTGATCTGGAATCCCTGCAGGACACGGGGATTTCCTGGGTGAGGGGTAGGAGGGAGATTGGCAGGGAAGCATAAGAAATCTGCTCCTAAGACTGGACAGGATTGTTTCTGAAGGGCCAGTGGGACTCGTCTTTTTGTAGTGTCCTGGTTTGAGCCCAGAGGGCTGTTAAGCACAGTGGAGCTGCTAGTTGACCCCTTACCCCCTCAGGAATGGGAAGGATAAAATACAGCAGAAGGCTTGGGAATTGAGACAAAGACAGGGAGGGGTGATGCCCATTATGGTCCCGGGCAAAAGACAGACTGGAAAAAAAAGATCATCAATTTAATTCAAATAACTGCAACACTGAACAGTGTAGGAAGGTGAGAAGCATTACCACATCTTTAAAACACCTGCCCCTCCCTTCTCCCCGGGCTCAGCTCTGCTCCTGATCTCTCGACCTCCTCCCCTGCTCAGTGGCACAGGGGGCGAGGAACGGGGGGTGCAGTCAGTCCTGCCGCTCGCTCGCTCCTTAGGGAGGGCGCTCCCTGCACTCTTCCCCTGCTCCAGCACGGGGTCCCTCTCCTGGGAAGCAGTCCTCCATGAGCTTCCTCTGAAGTGGGTCCTTCCCACAGGCCGCAGCTCTTCACGAACCGCACCAGGGCGGGCCCTGTCCGTGTGGTGAAGTCCTCCCAGTGCTGAGCTGTAACAGCCGGGGCTCCCCACAGAGTCCCGGCCTTCGTCAGGAGCAGCTGCCTGCTCAGTCATGGGCTCCTCCACAAGCTGCAGGTTGGCATCTGCTCCACCATGGACCTCCGTGGGTGGCAGGGGGACAATCTGCCCTCTCACCACGGGATACAGGGGGGTGTCTCTGCTCTGGTGCACCTCCCCTTCTCCTCCTCCTCCTTTCTTCTCCTCCTCCTGACTGACCTCAGTGTTTGCAGAGGTTTCTCCTTCACAACCCCCACTTTTCCACCCAGGTTCCCCTTCTTAAACACGTGCCCTGGTTTAGGCCCAGCTGGCAGCAAAGCATCATGCAGCCACTTGCTCACTCTTCCCCCACGGTGGGATGGGAGGAGAATTGGAATCAAAAACAAAAAGTAACACCCAACGGGTTGAGATATGTTGACTGCCTCCTCCTCAGAAGAGAAAGAGCAAAGGGAGGGAATGGAAGGTCACTTCAGCACTTTCTTATCAAAGTGAGTGAGAGGATAGTTAGAAAAGTGATACAATGCAAGGGCTTCCTGCTGCTTTTGTGGAGTTCTTTTATGCTGTGTGACTAATGCTTTCATAGCCCATTCTTGCATGCCTGAATGCAGGTGTATTGATTTCCTAGTGAGAGGGTAGTTGGTAGTGAGCTGTGCTATGCTGTGTTCTGCCTTCAAGGGAGAAATACAGTAAATCTGACTGGAGTGCAATTGTGAGATTAAACCAGAATAAAGCAGCAAGCAATTTTAGTAGTGGACCTGTTAAATTCCTCCTCTTTTTATTTAAGGGCAGTAATATCTTTCCCCTACCCCATGCACTTACTGAGAAGTCTAGTTTAAAACAAGCGCTTGTTGTTTGTGATAGTTACTCTCTAGAGCAGATAAAATTTTTTGGTTTTGGGTGTAACCCATCACTTTGCAAAGAAAAGATCCTGTTACAAGTACTTGGGTTGATATTGTTTATAGTATTAATGGTAACACAGGTCCTTTGCAATTAAAACGTTGTTTTCTGTTTTTTTCCTTCCAGGCAGTGTTGATGAATAACATCACAGTAAATGAACGACTGATCCAGACTCTCCGAGGTATGTCATAATATCCCTCCGCATCTCTCTCATACTGGTTTTTAAGCCCCTTGTTTTTAAGACTGGCATTTTTCTAGTGTCTTCTAATACTGCCTTTCTTTAAGTCATGGGGATGATTCAGGAGCTGCAGTGACTTAGATCCTGTGTCTGCATAGTTCTAGTTTAGTGAAGTGTCAGACTAATCTGCCTCAACGGTAGAAGGATTTATCAATGTAGTGCTTGATGTAGGACTCTTGACCCTGATGGTATAAAATAGTACAGAACAAAACTAGCTTCTGTGCGTCCTGTTAATATATTTATTCTTCATTCTGCCTTTTGCAGCATATTCTTGCATTCCTTCCTGAGGTGTTTGAGTCGTGCATTTTAGCACCAGAGGAATTCACAAACTCCTATATTAAATAAAAAAAATTGGTTTAATTAGTTTCCATTCATGTTGGTGCTTCAAAATTGGTGTTAGCAATTCATTCCGTAGGAGGACTGGGGAACAGATCCTAATTTATATAAACAGGCAAATATGTTGTGGTACCTTCTTCTGGTGCCCTAAGACAGAGCTTTCTATCAGGAAGAAAACTGAGTTGTAGATACCTCTGGTTTTGAGGAACGTTAAGTGTAAATTGCATCCAGGGAAGCATTGTAAGCTTTTTGTTAGATGGCTAATAAACATGAATGCCATTTCATACTATGTTCTAATTAGTATTTCATAGACTTGAAGATTTCCTTGGCTGAAACCTAACAGAGCAAGGGTTTGCAAACAAGTTAGAGTATTCTTTATGAAGAAGAGGAGGAAAAAAATCTATGTTATACCAGTTCTGTTAATATGTTAGGCTGAAAGGCTATTCTTACTCAGTCCTCTGCATCTTTGATGAATAAATTCAACAGTTTTCTGTGCATATGTATACAAAATGTAGTAAGCATGATGGATGGAGTTGATGTGCTTACTATCGATCTGTTGCGATACTTCTGTTGTAATATATGTAGGTATATATGTATGGGTGTATTTTAATGTACATATTTTAATCCTGTTTTGGACAGAGCACTTGAAAGAGTTACAAACAGAATATGGAAAGCTACAGCTGGATATTTACTGGTTTCAAAAGAACCAGACTAACCTTCAGAGGAAGTTCTCATATGACCTGTAAGTATGTACTTTCTAAAAGATGGCTTCCAGAGTTGTAGGTGACTTTGGTTATAACCGAGAGTGTTCTTGTGATAGCTGTAGCACTGTTAGTAAAGGTACATTTTTTAGCAGAAAGTAACACCTGACACATCTTCTAAAATTGCTCACAGTTGATCTCAGAGAAGAGCATAGACTTTGCAGTGCTTGGCATCTCAGTATCCACAGACTTCTCCCACACTTGATGTTCCTTCCATTGCAGGAGGAGAAAGGTAGCAATATTCTCATTTAAGAGTTGAGGAGAAAGTTGAAACATAAAGGGACTAAACTCTGAAGAAGTTTAAGAACTAAGATACAGGAATACCCAATGAGAAGCTGTACCTCATTGAGCTGCCAGAGGCCTCATAAAATTTCTGTTACAGTTTTGGTCAGAGCCATGTGTTCTGCATTACAGTTCATACTTAGTAATTTTTTTTGTTGAGATTTCCCACTGAATTACAAGGCATGGATAACTGAACACAAGTGCCTATCAGTATCCTTACACTAAATACACGTTTCTAGTATTCCCAGGAGTTTCTCCTGGGTTGTTTCTGTTCAGTGATGTTCTTGTTCCCTCAACCTGTCTTCACCTTGTATTTTATCTTCCTTCTGGTGCACAGATGTAGAAAACCAACAGAATTTGCTATTTGCATGTTCTCATAAATATTTTCCATCCAGAATATAATGGCTGTAGTGACAGGTATTTTTCCAGCAGCCACAGTTTAGCCAGATTTTGTAGGAATTACAACTAAAAGCTCAACATGACAATCAAAGAACTTGAATTCTGCAGGCCAAACTTGAAATACCTTTTTTTTTTTCTTTCCCCCCTGCTGAAGAATTAAGGATTAGTACTAGTGCTTTTGGGATACTTGCTGATTACCAGTTGGTTGTGTACTCTTTTTTTTTAGGGCATTGTTACTCATTTAATAACGATGACCCAGATAGATGGTATTATTGGACTTCTGGTAATTTAGGAATTCCAATGGAAGAGTAGAGGGAAGTTGGAGACTTAAGTTTGTACCAACTTTTTTTTAAGCCAGGTTGGACGTATGCATTTGTTAAGGTACTTTTTCCCTCCAAGTCTGCTGTGTACCCTGGTTGATAAGCACTATCTCTTTGCTGTTTAGTTAAATAATAGAGCTGAGACTCCTGGACCTCTGTTCTTCTCTAGTTCTTTGCTAGTTGGAGTATCTGTTTGCCAGCATCTTCCTTGTAAGGCTGAGCTCAGCAAAAATAAATGGATCTATAGGTGTATGCATGTGCTGTACAGTCATGCTCTACATGAGAGGTACATACTTGAAGCACTGTACTGGTACGCATGTAAGACAAATGTAGTGAGTCTGATTTTTGAAAACTCAGGTTTATTGCCCGTGTCTGGTGAAGTGTTTTCAAGTATAGGTCCATTGAGAAAGTCGCTGACAGAGATCCCTGCTTGCAGGAGTGTACTCTAAAGAATCCCACTTCATTTAACAGAAGGTTATATTCAGAGGGTACAGCTCCAGGGTCAAGGCTGGCTCAAGGTGAGCTAATTACAGTGGTGCAGGTCAGTTTGCTTGTGTCAGGGTAGGTGTAGGGAGAGGCATAGCAACTCAGCTCCCTGCTAGCTGATCAGGGACTCGGGTAGCTGGTCTGCCTCCAGCTGGCCCTGAGGCAGGTGCCCTGTTTCCTGCAGTCTTTCCATCTGAGTCCATAAAAGCAGTTATCTCAGTGGAGGAGCTACGCCTTCTTCACTAGCTTTGCTGAATAACAAGTGTTAATTTTCCACTTCTGGATTATTTTTTTTTTGTAGCTATGCAAGTGAGGAAAACAAACTTTGCACTCAGATTTTTATGGAATGATTTATAGCTTGGGAACCCTGTAGCTTTCATACAGTTCTAGCAGGAACATAGGTAAATGTATTTTTAAAATGTTTCTACTTGTGTACTTTTAGGGGGGAGGATGTTTGAACATTAATATTTCACTGTTGTAAGTTATATTACTAACTTTGCATTGTGTTCTGGTAGTTGTAGAAACGGACATCTGATTGTACTTGGTTATCTACAGTTCACTTTGCTGTTAACTAAATGCTTACCTAATATTGTAATTTAAAATGCTTACAAACAACCTTTTCCAAGTGTGATTATGGGCCTAGAAAAACAAGTATGATTAGAAGGACTCAAAATGTTACTTCTGATCTGTCTTCCTTCCTCCCCTTAATATTAGGAGTAAACCTACATGTTGCCTCTCTGTTCATCGGTAGTAAGACTTGGCAGGAGGGGGAGTTAGGCCTGCTTTTGTGCTATGCCAGTTTTTCTTCCTTTGACTTGGAGTTGTATGGATGAAGATTTCGCATCTTATGTATCAAGTACACTTTGCCCAGTGGAAAAACAAAGAGAGAGTATTATTGCGTAATTGAAAATGTTATAAAAAGGTGACAGAAGTCAAATGCCTTTTTTTAACCGCACACATTGTAAATCACTCTTTTTAAACAATTGGTTATTGCACTGCATAAGTGATAAAATCAGTTGTGTGTGTGGAATGCATAAGAACAAAAATAATTGTTTTTTCTCATGCTCAAGCCCCGAGTTTCTTAGTATGTTTTTTTTTTTTTTTTTTTGAGCAAACTTAATGTTTTCCATACGTAAGTCAGCAGGAGTTCCATGAGCTTACTGGTATTGTGTGCAGAAGGAGTGCACATTCCTCAGCAACTGACTTAGGGTGCACCAAGCACATCTCACTGTGCCCGGTCCTGTCTGCTCATGGTAGAGCTTGTTCAGCAACGACTGACCAGCAGCGCTGACCCTTCTCTCCTGCAGCAGCCGGAGAAAAACAGAAGCCTCTGGACCAGTCTTCTGAAGATATTTCTGTATTCCGATGCATTTTGATTCGTAAGGGCTTTGTTTGTTCTATAGCTTCTTTGGGAATTTTGCTACATTTAAAAGGTCTGATAATTAGTCTGGTATTTGCAGGCCTGACAAATGTAAGAGCGTGAGTGCACAAGTAATCTTTTTTTGGCAGGGTTGAAAGGAGCTGGTGGTATTATGCTTCTGCAGGACAAAGGTGCTCTGTTTCTCACGACGGGGGCAGCAAATCCAGCAGCCTGGGAGGAGGGGGGCTGCACATGCATTGCCATGAGTGCAGATTGTGCCTGTACGTGGCCAGGTACACAGGTTAACACGGGCACACGAAGCACAAGCAACACCAGTTGCCTCATCCCACTCTCCTTGAGGGTGGGGGTCTGCTAGTGCAAAACGTGCTGGTGTACCTACCACGTGCAGCCCTCCCACCCTGACTGACTCCAGTGGCTGCACTCATGCCCCCATACAGGCACATACGCACACTGAATGGTCCCTCGCCCAGGAAAGAGTTAAAAAGGCATTTAATAAGAAATGGGACAGACTGTGCTGATCAAGTACAGGGCAAGACCAGACAAGCCCAAGGACCAGCAGTGTGTTTATATTTTTTTTATGTGACCAACTCTGTTTATCCCCTTATTTCTCAATTTTCCCGTGCTTGTTCCTGTCAGAGATCCATCCCTTTCCCTGCCCCTGGTCCCACAGTAAGTCTTGTGCAATCCTGACATGTTCTACCCCTGCACCCATAATGTGTAGCCCACCCTGGGCAGGAGGCACCTTGGTTCCGCTGACTCATCTTGATGGCTTTTGGGCCTGGAAGCAGGAGCTGAGGCAGACCTGAGACAGCCCTGAGGCTGTGGGGGTGGTCTGGACAGAGTGTCTCTTCTTCTGAGTGTAATTTAGGCTCCCCACTGCCCTTGTGTGATACAGGGCCAAGATAGGAACAGGGGATGTAAGGGTTAACATGAGAATAGCAAGAAGGGGATGACAAAAGAAAATAGTTAAGATAATAGTTCAAGGGAAATAGTTTAGATAACGGTTAACAGTTCTGCTTAGTGAGCAGACAGTTTGTAAAACACGATGAGCTCTCTAGGCTCTATCAGTACCAAGCCGGTTGGAACTAGACCCGCGGTTTGGACAACAGCCAGTAAGAAACTGAGTCTGCGCAAAACCTGGGGTCACAGAGCAGACAGGAGGAAGAGGAGCTTGACTTCATCCCCAAAGACCCCCACGACCACCACCAGAAGACACTGCGCAGACTCAACTAGGAGGAGATTATGGAAATGCTAATTATAATACGAAGCGGGGATAGGTGTTGCATATGTATAGGCGTATTGCGAAATATTATGAATATGTAATCATTTGCTCTATAAATCTAAGGTAACAGCACCCCACGTTGGGTACACAATAGGAGGAGTTATCCCCTGTGTACCTCAGCGCTGAATAAACATACCTACTTTACAATCTATCAGATTGTGGAGTCTGTTTTCCGCACGTCATGTGCCTCTGTGCTCCTTCGGGTTCATGGAGGTGGGCCTTGGGTAGGCTGATGGCTCCTTGATGGGCTTGGGAGCAGCCTCTGAGGGTATTACTTGGTCTCCTTTGTGCACAGCTGATCTTTATCACAGAAGCCAGCTCTAATCTTGTGAGAGAGGAAGCAAAAGCACAGAGACTGAATTTAAGAGCACTGTTTTTGCACATCTGAAGGAGATTGCTGGGATGAGGTGGGGAAGCTAGTGCTGTTGTTGTGCTTCAGAAGTTGTTCTGTGCATGTGTAGAGTATTCAAATCTTCAGAAATCCCTTTTACAAGAAGGAAGTTCCCTCACAGATAATAAATGAAAAATAATGAGGATTTGTCACAGATGTTAAATTAACTTTATTTTCATCTGCATGTGTAGGATGAAAGAGCATTTGCAAAAAGTTGCTCTATCTCCAAGTTCAGGTTGTCTATATACTACATCTTTCTCAAGCTTGCAAACTGAGATGCAGGCAATCTTGATGTTCTTTTATTTTGTTGAAATTAGTGAAAGTGTGCATAACTCAAGCCTATGTTGTTTTATTATCTCTGATGTTCACCAACTCAGGAAGCACTGCGTATTTCAGTGACTCTTCCATGTATTAGCATTAGCAAAATTAGGCTTCAGAGTAATGTCTAGTCAAGAAGAAATGGTAATAAAGGTAATCAATTTGTTAGTTCATAAGGTAACTAATGTGCCTGTTCATAGCATATCTGTCTGCCACTATTCTTCCTTTCTGGTTGTGAAATACAGAACAGATTTTTTGCTTTTAAAAAGTGGGGTTGGAGAAGAATGAAAGTCCAGCAAAAACAAATGACTTGTTGTTGTAGAGGGCGCATGCCCTGAGAATTCCTCTGGATTAGGCAGTAGCTTATTTGCAGGTTGAGAAACTGGAGCATGCCCCTCTGAACCAGCTGCTCTTACACCAGGAGTATTAACACTCGGCCAGAACCAGGCTCAGAAGAAATTAATTCTCCATCTGTCATAGGGAGGAGGAGGTAAAACTTGTAGTTTGATGACCGTGCTGTTGTACAAAGAATGCCGAGAGAGGTTTTGCATACAGAAAGATGTGTTTGGAGGGTCTGTAGCTGATGGTGTACATTGAACTCAAAGTTACCTTAGAGTGGGAAAAAAAAAAGGAAAAAAAAAAGAGAAAGGAAAAAAGGGTTAAAAAACCCCGACAAACTCCTTTGCTGCCAGGGCCAGCAGGGAAGAGAAAACAGTGTGGTCCCCAGCCAAGCCTCTTCCTTGGGCACGCTCTCCAGTGCAGTGGGTGCTGACAACGATGAGATTTTTTCACCGCATTTTCCCCTAGCAAGATGCACTTTTCATCGGGATCCACTCAAAACCATGGTTGCTTGTTCCAGGTCACGGTGAGATCAAAGCATTCTTGAGGTCATATGATGACTTGTTTCTGATGTTTGTTTTCCACTAGGTCACTGCTTTGTTATTCACTGGGTCTAGTTCTTGCTCTAATATAAACCAAAAGTCACAAAACAGATTAGGAAGAGTGGGAGGGAAGGGGTGATCTTGCCCTGATGGCAGTCACTTCCCCTGGGGGTTTGCACAGGATCCTCAACACTGCCACCAAAGTGGGAAACACTGCCCTGGCAGCTTCAATGAAAACGCTGCTCCGAACAGCCTAGGGCTTACCTAGTTGTGGAGCTGTGAGGGAAAGGCAGGCTGCAGAGCTGCCAACAGAAGACCCCCTGGTGTCACAAAGATTAAGGCAGTAACGGCACTGTGCAACTATTACAAGTATATAAAAGTTACACAATACTTGCATCTTTAGGAAGTACTCCCTTTGGAACTTAGAGTAGCTACTGAGGAACTCCATTTCTGTAGCATACGTTTGTTAGCGGCACTGCACTGAAAATTCACATAGATTGTTGAGCTGGTCTAACAAAAGCAGTTTCATATTATTTCTTCCAGTAGATCTTGGACCACCTGCACCAAGAGTTTGTCCTCAGGACTTAGGTTAACACCCCATTTTTTCCTACTGACTTCTCAAATGTAAGCACAGATAATAGAACTAAGCAAATAATGGGAAAAAAAAAATCATTTTAGAACAGAACATTTTAGAAGAGTGTGGATGATAGTTAACAACTGCTCACTTATTCATGTTTTCTCCAGGTCACAGTGCATCAACCAGATGAAAGAATTAAAAGAACAATGTGAAGAAAGGTTAGATGAGCTTACAAAAAAGGGAAGTGATGTACCACAAATCAAAGAAAACAAAGACAGCTCTGAAGATTCAAAAAAAAACGGCCAGGTATGGTTTGGGCAATTTCGTAAAAATATTTTTCTTTGGAATTCTTAAGTTTTCCACCCTTCTGCTATCTCCAACTAACATTAGCCCATGTTCCTTCACATTTGTTGAATGTTTCTGATGTATGGGAAATGGAATGATTCCCAGGACAGAACAGGCAGAGGTCCTGCAGGAGACTCCAAATCACTGTGTCGCTGCGATGGGCAGAATTTGAGAGGTGATGCTGGGAGTGGTATGGAGCCCATTAAAGAATATTTACACTGCTGAGCTTTGGTTCACAGTTCCTTTTGATTTTGTTAAAGGACTTTGTTGCTTTGTGTGTTGAAGATGTGTGTTAAAGATAAGGATAAATTGTGAATCACTTCAGAGTAGCAGCGAGCCTGGAATATGATATTGTAGTCCAAAGGTCTTTGAAATCCATCAGATGTGAATCTTCACAGAAATCCTAACGTCAGCCTTTTACTGTGGGAGTTAGGGGAAGATCAATTGTCTGAGCTGTTTGCTTTTGGATATTTTGAGTGAAAGAACGATAAAAGGCATTGCTGTATGTGACATGAGAAGGCTCGCTAGGGTAGGGCAGGCTGGCTGCATAGGGTGGCTGCGTGCCAGCCATATCTTTCTTTCTGGGGTACAGAGAGCCGGAGAAAATCCCAAGAGAAGGAAATTTCAGACCATCTTGTTGTCTTGGCATGTGAACTATTGATGCTTCTTCAGTGAAGCAGGATTTGGGCAGGGACAGGACGTGAGTGCTTAAGCTTGATACTGGTGGCCTTGGAAACACACAGCGAAGGTCCTGAGTGAGAAGGCAACTGATTTATTTCTGTGGACCAAGGCAGCCCTTTCTTCAGGACTAGGAGCATCAGTTACAGAAGTGACATTTTTTACATGCAATTGCAGTGGGGTCTTTTCCCCACACCTGGGTGGCCAACTCTCATTGCAAAGGCAGTGGGGCTGGCTTCTCTGTGTCTGGGAGAAGGCTACTAAAAGAAACAATCTGATGACTTCATTAAGTGGAAAGGGTAAAGCAATGAGGATTGACGCTGGGTTTTGCAGATAGCTGGAAATGGGTGGGAGAAAATGACTGAAACATCTGCCCAGGGACCCCTAGGTGTTTAGGTAATGCGCCCAGTCTGTGTCCAGTCTTTTATGTGAAATGTTGGGGGAGAGAACTGCTGAAGTTTGTGACCTTTTATCCTGCATTGTATGAGGGGTGCAAGATGAACGAAGCATTAGAGACAGGAAATGCTAGCCCCTTAAAAAAAAAAAAAAAAGTGAAAGCTTTTGTCAGTAATTATCAACAGTGTCAAATAAGCAAATAAAAAGTAATAATAGTAAATATGTAGTAATAGTAAAAAGTCCCGTCATTTGGAGATGAAGTTTATTTGACAAACAAATGTATCTTGTTTAATGCCAAGATGTAAACTACTATTTGGAAAGTTAATGTGAGACATACTATACTAGAGAGGTGGTCAACTTAATTTCTAGTGTGGCTTTGCAGCAAATTTTCATTACAATTACTTGCATCACATGCCTTTTTTTTCTTGTTTTGTGGTATGAAGTTTTTTTTTACCATTTCCAGTTTGGAAGGGAAATCATCCCAGAAGGAACCTGAGGAATTTGGCTGAAGCCCCTCTGCAGGACAATTCCAGTCTCTTGCAACAAGTCCCATAACTGTACACAATCTTCACTCAAAGCAGGCAGTAAGGTAGATAGGGCAGGTTATCTGTTCTCTTTTTAATCCGTAGATGGCATGGGCCCAGCTGAGATAACCACTAGTATAGCTACAGACTAAATAAATTCTGTCTTCTTGTGTTCCCCAGTGTCAGTGACTGTTTCTTAACGTCAAGCTGTAACCTTCTCAACTGTTTGCCTAAGGACTGCATCTTTTTGCTTGTAGAAAATCTGAGTTCTTTACCATTAGTACAAGATGACCCTGAGGAGATCTATGTACATTTTTATCCAGTGTTTTTAGCTGTAATAATTCCTGTTTGTAAGATGTACATGCTTATGTAGTGGAAAGGTCACAGTTAAAATAAAACAGAGAAAGAAAATTGAATGTTGGTTGGTTAATGAATATACGGCTTTTCTTAGAGTTCTGTATTTTAAGGAATGATATATGCTTCCTGGCTGAGAAGTATACAACACGTTCCAATTGTTATCTTTTTATCAAACCACTTGAACTTGAAAAATTTTCAGCATATACCCTTTTAATTTATTTGACACCATTAAAAACTACTGAGCTAGAAATATAAGGCCTTTTGCACATTTAACTAAGTTTACAGAAGAATTCATGCGCAGCATAATGTGAAAAATGGTCTTATGTTCAGTTTCTGATGATTTCTACTGTAGGGATTGACCTCAAGAAGCTCAATTAATTATAAAACAGAAGCATTTTTTAAATACAGCATTTTTGTTTTAATGACTGAAGGAAGAATATCCTTAATGTAATAACCAAATATTCTGTGGTAGTACTTTCTTCTCAAGCTTTCCTAAGAGTTAATGCTAGATTATTTGTTGTTGATGTTGGACTTTGTGGTGTTGACCCCAACAAGGTCTTTAGTTCTGCCTGTCTTTGACTGAGCTTACAAAACAGCAAAGCAGTCATATCCTACAAATCCTTTACAGCTTTGGCTTCTTGACTATAACCACTTCTTTCTGCAGACATTTTTCCAAATGACTGCATGAGCACTTTACAACCTAATGTTTTACTGACCTGCTTAAAACAATGGGTAGCTACAGTCTTACCAACAATTGTAAAAGAAAACTTTGTTGACTGTGTGACTTGCTTTATCATAAGGTTTTCTGTTCATTCGTATAGTGCCATGTATAGAGGTTTATGTCTCTAAATGTCTGTATGCCTGTTCCTGCTTGGTATCTAGGTTTTTTTGTTTTTGTTTTGTGTTTTTTTGGTTGTTTGTTTTTTTTTTTTTTTAAACAAAACAAAAACCCAACAAAAAATCCCCATAGAACAGTTTCGTAACAGTCTGGTTTTTTTGTGCCGAAGTTGGTTTAGCACAGCACAGGCTCCACGCACATTTCATGTTCAATGTTTGTGTGAACTGAATTGACATAGCTCTCAGCCAATTAAATGCTCGTATGAGTGGTAGATAGAATTTTAATTGCTAGATTGGAAGATCTTCAAGGTGGTATATATCCTAGCTATCAATCTTTAAGCAGCCGAGGTGCTTACAGCAGTCTCATACCAGTATTTCATACATTCTTAAGCTCGCTCCCTCATGTTAAACTGATACTGTTGTCTAGTTGGTTGATTTTTTGTTCTCTTAATCCCCCCACTCAACACAGTTTTAGACCAGTTTTGTACAGGCTTGCTTGACTGAAGTCTTCCTACGCCCAAACTGAGTTTACCCGTCCCTGCAGTTTACCAGCAGTAGTTAATGCCATCTGCTTTTCTGCTCTCCTGACCTTGACACGGTCACAGGGCAACAGTGGAGAAATGCGTGGTGTGACAGTTCTGTGACCCTCAGAGAATAACAGACAGTTTTCCTTGGGAAACACGAACCACAGACAGAAACCTCGTTGTTAGCTGCAATTAGGTTAAAGAAGGTGTGTTAAATTCCCCTGATGTGTTGTGCTGTTACACAGAAACATCGCTGCGTATTGGACTGTATGGTACTTCCATCCCCTACTAAAAATTTCAGTCCAAATATTTCTGTGTTCAATTTTTTTTCCCCCAGTTGAATTATTATCTAACTTCCACTTCCTTTTCCAAATCCAGGAGTAGTTACACAGGCCAGTGCTTATCTGTGTATGTTCACTTTATAGGTCAATATTCAACTGCCAGCTGTGAAGCAAACAGATTTCAAGCAGGCTAACTTGGAACAGCAGAAACCCAATGAAGATGCACCCAAAGCAACACCTGCAGTAAAAAAGACAGACCCGCTGCAGGCTAAAGGTAGGATGGAAATCACTATCTTACTAGCAACTGGTTAAGAACATTTGTAATTTAATTGAACAGTTTAGAAAACATTTTTGTACACAAGATTAAGATGGAAGAAGTGACACAGGTAGACTGAACTTTAATCAATTTCCCAGATGTGCAGAGGTATAATAGCTATTCAAGCATTTTTATTATTAGCATTCCTACTGGTTCAGTTTTGTTATAATTTACATGTTGATGTAAAGGAAAATACAAGTATTTACAATTCTGGAGTCATATTCCTATTTGATACGGAGAAAGTACCCTGCTTTTGGAAGCAATGATTTTCAAGCATGTTTAAAATCTGCTTTCTTAATAAGCTTGACACATCCAGCCTGCTACCCCTTCCTATGGAATAGCTGAAAGTTAGGCTTTAAACAAACACACATACATTATTCCCATGTCTTGTCACCGAGCAAAATGCAAGTAAGACAAATGATATGCAGATCAGGTTGGTTAACCCAATGGTTGCTTTTGGCACTAAACCCTCAGAAAATATTAATCTGAATGGACATATCCTTGTGCACCAGTCTCCCATAGCACTGTGATAAAAATTCAGTTTCCTATTTAAATATTCCTATGTCTATTTTGAATTACAGTCTTGAGAGCATTCAAGTCTCATTTTAGAGAGCTAGCAATTGGAAGCAACATCTATATATAGTTTATTCAGGCAAATTTTATCTTTATTTTTTATGTTAAAAATACAAATACACTGGAAAAAAAGATACGGTAATATCTGCTAAAAGTAATAGTCCTCCTGCACTTCCTCATAATATTTAAAAATATGAACAACCTCAATTTACTTGCAGATCTGCCCGTGTGACTGCTTTGTCCTGAGCTACTTTTGAACAGATCAGTTTTACTGCTGGTAACAAAATGTAACACACAGAAATCTGATGGTTATACAGCACACTGCAATCGTTATTTAAGCTGTTCTGTTTCACCTGCCCCATTTATTAACTGAACATACCAAAATTTTAAGTAGGTGGAAGCATGAATCTGTTGATAGTAAACAACGTCTCATCCTTTTGCTGTTTGCAGTAGGAAAAACACAGGTTGTCATCTTTTTATCTTCGGAACTGATGTGGTTGAAAGATATTCTTTCAGAGGAAAACCAAGAATCGAATGAGAAAGATGAAGTAGTATTTATTAAAGGTTTTAAACTTGTGCCACCACTGAATGGCATTAGGTGTTTTACTTGGAACCATTTTTATTGTTTATAGAAAGAATAAATGGTGTAGCTGACATCAGGAAACAGGAGCCTAAGGAAGAAGAGAAGCTTTCTAGTCAGCTGAAAAACTCAGAGGATTCACTCAAGACTGCTGCAGGTCATAAGGAGATGCTGCCTGCATCAGAGAAGGAGCTGAATCTGTCTGAAGATGAAAAACATGTGGCTGGGCAAGATGCTTTGCAGCCAGCAGCAGATCAGGCTGCCAGTGAAGAAATTGAGAGGGAGCAGCTCCTAAATTATGATGCTAAGCAAGATGACTCACCCCCTGGAAAGGCCGGTTGGTAACCTGTCATGTATTGTTAAGAACAGTAAAGAAATGAAAGTGTGGAATAGGGCAAGATTTCTGCAACAGTGGTGGCAGCTGGCCAGACTTAATGTAAGGTTTCATAAATGTTAGTCTGAGATGCAAAAGGCTGGTCGGTCCCCAGCAGTCTTCTACAGCCCATGGGTGAAGATGGAGGTCTCTGTGCAACTGGGTTATTCTGCATCACCGTAGCAGCCTTCCTGTCTCTCTCCACTGGCTGTACAAGGCATTTGGGGAAATTAGTCCCGAAACTTTCTGGTATTGCAGCTTTGTAAGAATACAGTGCATTTGAAAAGGATGAGACTTTAACTATCCAAAGCACTGGTGAGTGAAGAGATCCTACATATTGATGTTTTGCAGGTAGTCTTTTTATAGTGTCAATGTGTAAAGGCTAGTTATTCCTATTTCAAAATAAGGTAGCATGAATAAAAGTTGACCTGAGACTTAAGGTATCTGAAGTTCATTATTGTGAGTCTGCAAAACTGAAGATCAGATGTTGCAAAAGTGCCATATTCTGGCATCAACCCCATGTAACCCTGAACCATGTCACCACAGCACCAAGCAGCAGAGTATTGATGTTGTGCCTAAACCTGACCAGAACTGAGACATCCCTCTGTCCGTCTGGAAGAATTCTGTCTCAGCTGAACCCAGCAGCCCACAGTAACCAAAAGGAAGCCTTATGGCAGTCACAGCAGGAACTGATGCCCTCAAAAAGTGCTGTTTATGCTTTTCTAATAAACGCATTCATAGAAGCACGAGTAATGATGTTAACACTGTTGATAACTTGGCAGGGATAAATAATCTCATCTGTATTACTAAAGTAGTATTTTTCCAACAGCTCCAAAAAGATGGTGGCCAGAACAGGCCGTCCCCCACAGATGAGAATACAAGTTACTAAAACTGCTTCTGTTCTAACAGAAATAAAAAGGAGAAAAATTACGTAAAAAAAAATCCAACACTTAGTGCAAGAAAACACTCTGCCATGTAGCCTGTGAAAGGTCAGAGTTTCTGTGAGCTATAAAGACTAGCTGGATGTTTTTCAGGCTTGATTGATTGTTCAACAAAAACACCATACCTTACTACATAGGTTTCTTATAGCTAAAGGAGTCCACAGTAGAAAAAGAAAAATTTCTTCTACATTCTCTGAACATCCTGTCTTTAGATAAAAGCTTCTTTTAAAAGTTTGAAAGCTTTATGTCTATAGCTGTAAAAATCTATTTGATATGGTGGTGTGAACTTGGACAATATAAGGCTGAAAATTTTCAAGCCTGTGTATAAGCCAGTTACAAATTAGGGGGCTTGGCTTAGGATCATTCAGAACCAGAGACTCTGATCTCTCAGAACTGGGGTAGGCTTACACCACTGTGCCATTGATAGTCAGTAAAAGTTACTTAAGACGAATTAATGACTGGGTGAAGAATATTGCTTATACAAATGCACTTCTGTGTCAAGTTAGCACATCATAAAATACTCTTTTTTTATGCTATATTCACAGCTCTCTGCTTGGTGGAAAACTAAAACAAGAAGGGGGAAACTGAGATACATTCTAGCAGCGGTAGTAATACATTTAAAAGCAACAACACAGTCAAGTTCCTAGCACTGGCTTCAGGTTTTACTCTTCCTTAGGCTGTTCTTTAACATATTCTGAAATTGTTTAATGCTTTTGCTTTCTGCCCATCTGAATGCTGGCTGAATTTTATTACATTTTCCAAGTCCCAAAAGATTCTTCCTTTTATCTAGTTCTTTAGTCAAGATTTACAGCAAAAGCTGCTCTGAAATGTAACAGTTCAAAAGGAAAAATAATATGAACACCTACTCTAAAGAGCAGTTAATTCAGCAGCAAAGCAAGTTCTGCAGAAAACTGTTACAGTAACTCTTTCTTGTGTAGATGACCTTATGGTTTAGCATAAAATGAATTACTCTTAACATTTTTCCAGACAAACAGGAACATGAAGCACTGAACCAGGACAAGGATGTTGATTACAATTTAGATGAGAATGAAGCTGAATCAGAAACAGACAAGCAAGCAGCACTTGCAGGGATTGAAAATGGTAAAAAAATAAGAAAAAAAAAGTTTTAACCTTTAAGTACCACATGTTGAAAATTTCAAGATATTTTGAATGGTATCCTCTAGCAGACACAGCTAGCTAATTTCTGTTTGTTCTTTGAGCTTTCCCTCATGTTGACAGCGTGACCTATTTTTTGTATAGCATCACTGAAGCTACCATTTAACATGCAGTGGGGAGGGATAGTATCTGTAGCTTTACTATGCTATATACATAACAGTCCTTTCAAAATTTCTCCTGCTGTGTTCTAGACTGTTTTCTAGATGAAGAACCATCACTTCTGCCTCTTAAAGTTATTTTTGTACCTTTTTCTTTTTTTCCTAATTAGTTCAAAACACTGAAGATACAAAGAACCACTTCTCTGAGCATGGTGAAGAACAGAGGTTGTGAACAAAGGAGATTCATGATGAAGCTTAGTCACCTCTCCATATAAATGCAGCAGTGATAAGATCAAAGTGACCTGAGCATGTTTTGATTATCTTTTGAAGGCTTCAATAAGGGCCCAAATGTAGTAGTATTTTCTTGTGAAGTTTTAATACTGTTTCAGTGGTGAAAAAATAATCTTAAATCTCTGGAGGCTTCTTTTAAAGCAGCTCAACCTCTGCAATGACTCCTTCCTACTGATTATAAAATTGCAACCAGCTAGCAATAAGTGTAGTTATTTTAAAGTCAGCTAACTTGTTCTGTCATACTGCAATAACAGTATGTGTGGATTGGTGGTAGGTGAGAGAGAGTCCTCTGCCAAGGATGGATCTCTCCCCTGCCCAATGCAGTAGAGAAATTGTAGTTTTAAGAGGAGCTCACCTTGACAAAACACGGAAGGATGAAAAATGGCTCATGCTTCAGTCTACCCTTGTGCTGATTCTGGCATCTTTTTACTGCAATGTAGACAGACTCAGAAAGCATGATTGTAGTCCTCAGATACTATGTAATGATGCATTTTCCTGGACCTCCTAAATGAAACTGCTAGCTTACACTATCTGTAACCAGGCTGAAACAGTCCTGGTTGTGTTCTTAGCTTTTAGGTTAAAAAAAAGAAAAGTTGACAATCGTGTCTTAAGAGATTAGCCAGAAAGACTCTTCTGAAACCTCTGTTGGACTGCTGTTCAGAAGATCAGTACTACATTATGGTTCAGTTACCACTAATGTGCACAAGTTCAGAGTGTAAAAATTGAAACTGCTGAACTTTTCACAACAGAAGCCATCTGAAATGGTGTGCTACGTCTACCCTTTACTCCACCCAGCCGTTATTTTCTGCTGAAAAGTAGAAAGGCAGATGCTTGCCGTGTAGAACAGCCATCTTCGCTGCTGGACTTCTGAAGAAGGTAAATCGGACTATGTATTTACGAGACATCTCAGTGCCTCACACAGGTGAAGGTGTAGTTGTTGTGGAGTCCTATGCTGTGCACAATGTATCATGTTGTTAATATTCTGTAGCCTTCGTCTTTTCTCTGGCTGTTGAATGTATACTAGAAACTAGTTTACTTGTGATAACCTAGAAGTACCCTCTGCTACCACTGAGGCACACTTAGCTGCAGTCCAACGTGCTTTTGTGTGTAGCCAGCTGTTCTGGTGACTGTACTTGGGTCTGTTCTCAAAACTGACACCTGTGTTTGGAGCAGTCTGTCTGAGTATAAATCAACCTCCGCTGAGACAGCATGCGAGCAGACGAACATGACTAGCTTCTCAATCAGCAATCCATTTAAGAAAATAGAAATTTGTGTTGGCTTTCTCTTAATGCACTTCATTTGTCACTACGTTTGTGGTGTTTTTCCTCAGTGTACTAGTTTACAACTCCTGTACCTTCAGATGTCTAAATATGCAAGTGGAAGGTTGGTTCTTTTGTGTATGAAAAGAGTTACAGTTATCAGAGAATGAAAAGCAGAGCTCAAACCAAATAGTGCCTATTAAGCCTAAATGCATGAACAGTTCACGGAAAGACTTGCCACATGTAACTTGAATTCTTCCGAGAAAAGCACTAACTTCCATTACTGAGTTTTTGTTGCTCTTTTTTTTTTTTCGCCATGTAGGTCAGACTTAACTGGTCTGGGCTACTACAGTCAGTGTATCAGGGAAAACAAATGCTTGAGAAAAGGAGACATGAGCATCTCTTCTGACGAGTACTGGGAAACTTGGGATTTAAAGGTTTTTTGCAAATAATGGCATGTTTCAACATCAAAATGTTTACCTGTGTTCTGAGTAAAAGGGGCATTTTCTTAGTACTTAATTTGTAAACAGTTATATAGCTGAGATGAAGTTAATCACACATTTAATAGCGATTGCTAAAGAGCATATATATATATTCTAACAGTATAAAAAGTACAGTGAAAGACTGTATTCAAGTTGAATGAATGGCTATGATACTGGTAAAACACCAAGCAAACATAATTCTTAAGGTAAGTAATGTATTGCTAGAGAATTCTTTTAAAATTAATTGTTTAGACTGTATTTCTGTACAGCACCCAAACCTGACTGGGCTTCTCACCAGCCAGGCAGATGTTGCCATTTACATAAACAAGACCAGGTTTGTAGGAAGCGCACTTGTTACACCTCTGACAGTAGGGGGTCTGAAAACCTGCCTGAGAGCAATGTTCAAAAGCATAAAGGAATATGCTCTTACTGTCAGTGGCTTCAGGTGCTACAGAAATGGAACTACAGTGGTAGATTGCTAGTAGACAAGGGGCCTGTATGTCTACTACATAGAATTTTAAAAATAAAGGACTTCTAGTTGAACAAAACAAGAGATTCATTTAGAACTGTGGTTTATGTAGTGTTGTCTATTACGAAAATCTTTAGTTGCATGAGGCAGGGAAAGCTTCTTTACTGTAATCATCTTGGGGTTAAATTAACACTTGTCCTTGATGTTTTTTTAAAAACGAAGCCTGATCCATTTTAGGTAGGCATTTAAAAATAAAAATAATCTTGTCTACTACGTATTCACCTTATTCTGTACAGTTTATTCATGTTGAAAGTTAATGAAAATAGGAGAGCCAGTAACTTCTGTTTTCTTAGTAATATAAATGAAGTAGAACTTGGTTTCTCTTTTACTTGCTGTTTCCTTTGGAGAAATACCAAAGGCTGTCCTTGAGCTGCTGTAGTTCAAGATATTTAAGACGGTAAAGATTTCTGTGATTGTTTACAAGAAGGCGACAAAAGCCAATGAATTCGCAGTGCCCTGCACTAGAACCAGTCTGCCGTCTTTGCAACTATATTTTCAGTATTGTCACTCCTTTGGCAACGATACAGAAACATTCAAGTATATTAACCATGATGGTAAGCAAACATGCAAAATGGTATGCAACCTCCTTAGCAGAGAAATCAGGAAAAGCGTGTCTTAAGGGCTTATTTCAAGAAGCTGCAAATTGCTGTCAGACAAGTGGGTGTTCCACTACAGAATTTCTTCACTGTTTTCTAGCTCAGCAGTGCTGCTGCTTAGATGACAGAGCTGAAGTGGTATGACTCCACAATACAAGTGTATGTTAGGAGAAACACAAACGTCTTGCATGGTCAGGGAGTTACAAGCTCGTCGATATGGAGGAAGCCATTCTGCACCAACATGAAGCACTGTCCTGGCCAGAGTCAAACCTGGAGGATTTGTGTTTATGGCCCAGGTAAGACTTGGCAGTATGGTTTATCAAAGAGCAAGTCACTTTAGTTGGTATGTGGGGTTTTTTGTGTTTTGTTTTGTTGGTTTTTTTGTTGTTGTTGTTGTTGTTTTGTTTGTTCTTTTTTTGTTGTTTTGTTTTGTTTTTTTTTTGTTTTGTTTCTTGTGGGTGTTTTTTTGTTTGTTTGTTTGTTTTCTGTTGGTTTTTTTTTGTTGTTTTTTCGTACTGTAGCAGAAGGTTGCTCAACACAAGAGCTTACCCCAGTTATTTCATATCTGGATGCACAGGAGGAAGGACTGCTTCAGGAAGGGAAGGGTAGGTTTGGGGCTTCTATTTGGGATTCCTATCTATATCAACCATTACAGAAGGCAGGACACAGCAGCAGCATTGCAGTCAAAACGAGGATAAAGGTCATGCAAGAGCAGACTGAGCAACAGAATAAATTAGCACTGCCTCATTTGCAACGGCAAAGTAACAACAGGACTAAAACAAAGTTGCAGAGTAGTTAGAATAGACTCCTAGAGTCTTACATTCCTATGTTGCCAGTGACTACTACAGTATTAGCTACACAAACAGTCCAGCACCATGAAGAAAAAAGACAAACAAACTGCAACTAGAAATAACTTCCTTAATTTCCTCACTGTCCAAGGACTTTTCCTGTATTTCAGACAAAATACTTCCTAGGCAACTGACTTCCATAAACCAAAAGTCACTGAATTCAGTGCAGTAGAAACTAAATGACTAGTTTTCATCTGCTCTTAATTCCTGTGAAGATTTAGTCTTTTACTTGCAAAGTGAGCAAATCTAATGCAATTTGGGCAAAAATATGGAAACTCACAGTGTCTCCAAGTGGCTTTGTTCAAAGCACAATGCAGTAGCAGAGCTGTGCCTATCGGACATGAGACTACTGCATTATTTTTATTCATCCCCAAATGTTACTGAATCCCTGAACTGCCATTTTCTGTCAGAGCTCATTCATGAACTAAAGTTTCCTGGGGATGGGAATCTCAATCCATCCCTGATGGCTTGATGCCAGTGCCAGCAATAGATGCCCAGAGCCTAGAGAAGGGTCACAGGACAGCAGGAGAGCACCTGAAGAGCAGCACAAAGAAATTTCAGCCAGTAAGTCAGCATCAGGGGCCCAACCTGAATGCCTCTATGGAAACGCACATAGCATGAGGAATAAACGAGGAATAAGAGACCTGCACATGCCTGCAGGGCTGTGATCTTAATGTCATCACCAAGACGTGGTGGGATGGTTCCTATGACTGGAGCGTTGGAACAGAAGGACACAGGCTCTTTAGGAAAGACAGGCAGGGAAGATGAGGAGGGCGTTCACCCTCCATGTCAACAACCAGATGGAGTGCACGGAGCTCCGCCTGGGGACGGAGGAGGATCTGAGCAAGAGCATATGGGTCAGGATTTAAAGGGAAGACTGGGACAGGAAACGTTATAGCAGGGGTCTGCTACAGGACACCCGACCAGGAAGACTGCGTGGATGAGACCCTCTATAGACAAATAGGAGCAGCCTCACATTCACAAGCCCTGGTTCTCATGGGAGACTTCAACCACCCCAGTATCTGTTGGTGGGACAACACAGCAGGACATAAACAATCCAGGAGGTTCCTGGAATGCACTGATGATAACTTCCTTCTCCAAGTGACAGAGGAGCCAACGAGGAGAGGTGCTCTGCTGGACCTTGTTCTCACCAACAACCTGCGGCTGGTGGGGACTGTGAAGCTCAAGAGCAGCCTTGGCTGCAGTGACCATGAACTGGTGGAGTTCAAGATCCTTAGGGCAGTGAGGAGGGAGCACAGCCAAGCTCGCTACCCTGGACTTCAGGCAGACTTGACCTCTTCAGGGATATGCTTGGCAGAGTACCATGGGATAAGGCCCTGGAGGGAAGAGGGGCCAAGAAAAGGACTTAATATTAAAGGATCAATTCCTCCAAGCTCGGAAGCAATGCATCCTGACAGAGAGGAAGTCAGGTAAGAATGCCAGGAGCCTGCACGGATGAACAAGGAGCTCCTGGCAATCTCAAACATAAAAAGGAAGCCTACTGAGGGTGGAAGCAAGGACAGGCAGCCCACGAGGAATACAGAGAAACTCCCCGAGCAGCCAGGGATCAGGTTAGGAAGGCCAAGACCCTGATAGAATTAAATCTGGCCAGGGACATCAAGGGCAACGAGGAAAACTTCTACAGGTACATCAGTGATAGAAGGAAGACTAGGGAAAATGTGGGCCCTCTCCCAAAGGAAATGGGAGACTTGGGTACCCGGAATATGGAGAAAGCTGAGGCACTCAATGACTTCTTTGCCTCAGTCTTCAGTGGCAAGTGTTCCAGCCACACTGCCCAAGTTGCAGAAGGTAAAGGCAGGGACTGGAAGAATGAAGAGCTGCCCACTCCCCACCTGCAGTGCTGTGTCCAGCTCTGGGGCCCCCAAAATAAGAAGGACATGGACCTGTTTGAGTGAGTCCAGAGGAGGCCACGAAAGTGATCAGGGGGCTGGAGCACTTCTCCCTGCAAGGACAGGCTGAGAGAGTTGGGGTTATTCAGCCTGGAGACAAGGAAGCTCTGAGGAGACCTTCTAGCGGCCTTCCAGTACTTAAGGGGGGCTACAGGAAAGATGAGGAGGGACTCTATCAGGGAGTGCAGTGATAGGATGAGGGGTAATGGTTTTAAACAGAAAGGGAAGATTTAGATGAGATATAAGGAAGAAATTCTTTCCTGTGAGGGTGGTGAGACCCTGGCACAGGTTGCCCAGAGCAGCTGTGGCTGCCCCCTCCCTAGAAGGGGTCAGGGCCAGGTCTGAGAGGGCTTTGAGCAACCCAGGCTAGTGTCCCTGCCTATGGCAGTGGGGTTGGAAGTAGATGATCTTTTAAGGTCCCTTTCAACCCAAACCATTTCATGATTCTATAAAAATGACTTAAATCTGTAAAAATATCAATTAAGGTACCACTTTCTTCAACAATACAGCTGATTAAAATCAGCTTCACCTGTAAAACTTCATACAAACCACTTCAAAACAGGAGCTGTCATTTAGATCATGTAGAAGCAACAGACTACAGATATTCCACATAACAATATTTTTATCCTGGAGATCCCTGACAGTCTGGGTAGAGCAGCAAACATTTCATCCTATAGATAGTATCCAACACACAGGTTATGTTCCAGGTGTCCTAACAATAATCTCCTGTCTTTCAAACAAGCTTCACAACTGGAAAATATCTATGAGGGGAGAAGTCAAATTCTGGAGGAACCTAGAAATAAAAGATTTAAAATGTTACACAGCAGTACTACTGAATTTAATATCAAAATGAGGCGTACCCTGCAGATAGAAGAAAAACGCTTAAAAAGCAGAAGACTGGAAAAAAAAAAATCCTAGTTCTTTAAATTAATACCTGAAAAATATTCCAAGTTATTTCTGGATATGTCAATCATCCTCCAGAAGTGATGGGCCCAAAGCTGCAGAATGCTGGTGTGCCTTTTCAGTGTGCTCCTCCATCCTTCTGTGCCTAGCCTTTGGCAGAAAGTCTGAAAGGACTCTCCTCCTCCTGACCCACATGGCACTCACTAATCCTGACAGCCAGCACTCTCCCCACTGCGTTCACACAAGCTGCTAATACTCTGCTACCAACTACTTCTTCCCGCTCTTGAAGAATACCCATATTTGTACATGTCATCCCACATGCCATTCCCAGTATTTTTTCAAAAACATTTAGAAGCAAGAGTTTTCCATATTTAAATAACTACAGCAAGCTTTTTTCAAAAGAAAAATGGATTAAGTTGCTTTCCTGGTTCTTTTAAGAGTTGGAATAACTATGGTCTGAATCTGCTCATTCAGCTCCAGTAGATCTGTGGTAGCACTGTGTGTAATACTGCATTTCACATTCAATTCATCTGGCATTTTCTTACCTTAGAGTCTTTTTTGTGGCCTCCTGCCAGCAGCTTCATGACCACAATATTGGGTTTAGCAACTTTGAGAATTCGACTGACCTAAACACAAAATAGTAAGAAGTTTTCAAGTGAAAGCATATGAATACAAAATTATTTCAATGGTAACACTCAAATGTTCACATAGTCTAACAATACAGCAGTTCTCTTACAGTATCAGTTTAACAGATATCAGGGTGTTTTGGATTTTCTGTGAAGTGTAACAGTGGGATTAATGAAGTTTAATGAAGGAGGCATTTATTTTAATAGTCACCTTTTTTATTCCAGACTATAGAAACCACTGCTCTCCATGCTTATATTCAAAAATTGTTGAACTATGGCAAGTTCTGAGGTACTCATCCAAATAAAGGTTTAGACAGACTGTAGGCATCTACTC